AAGGCTGCAGCGTCGAATGAGAGGTATGGCCAGAAGGTCATGGCATTACTTCTTGACAAGCGCGGATCCGAGATCCAGATCACCGAAGACATCCTAAAGAAAGCAGCTTCGAATAGGGGTAATGGCCAGAAGGTCATGGCATTACTTCTCGATAAGCGCGGATCCGAGATTCATATCACCGAAGACATCGTCAAGGCTGCAGCGTCGAATCAGCTTAACGGCCTGCAGGTGATGGCATTACTTCACGGCAAGCGTAGATCCGAAATACAGATCACCGAAGGCATCGTAAAGGCTATAGCTTCAAATAGCTACATTGGCGAGGAAATGATGGCACTACTTCTCGAGAAGCGCGGATCCGAGGTTCAGATCACCGAAGACATCGTCAAGGCTGTAGCATCGAATTGGGGTAATATCCAGAAGATTATGGCATTACTTCTCAAAGAGCGCGGATCCGAGATCCAGATTAACGAAGGCATCATCAAGGCTGTAGCGTCGAATGAAGGTAATGGCCAGGAGGTGATGGCATTACTTCTCGACAAGCGCGAATCCGAGGTTCATATCACCGAAGACATCGTCAAGGCTGCAGCATCGAATGAGGGTTATGGCCAGAAGGTTATAGTATTGCTTGTCAAAGAGCGCGGATCCGAGATCCAGATCACCGAAGACATCGTCAAGGCTGTAGCGTCGAATGAAGGTAATGGCCAGGAGGTGATGGCATTGCTTCTCGACAAGCGCGAATCCGAGGTTCATATCACCGAAGACATCGTCAAGGCTGCAGCGTCTAATGAGAGTTATGACCAGAAGGTCATGGCATTACTTCTTGACAAGCGCGGATCCGAGATCCAGATCACCGAAGACATCGTCAAGGCTGTAGCGTCGAACAGGTGTAATGGCCAGGAGATGATGACATTACTTCTCGACAAGCGCGGATCCGAGATTAAGATCACCGAAGACATCCTGAAGAAAGCAGCTTCAAACGAGCATAATGGCCAGGAGGTGATGGCATTGCTTCTCGACAAGCGTGGATCCGAGATCCAGATCACCGAAGACATCCTGAAGGAAGTAGCTTCGAATGAGCATAATGGCCAGGAGATGATGACATTACTTCTCGACAAGCGTGGATCCGATATTCATATCACTGAAGACGTCCTGAAGGCTGCAGCGTCTAATGAGAGTTATGACCAGAAGGTCATGGCATTACTTCTTGACAAGCGCGGATCCGAGATCCAGATCACCGAAGACATCGTCAAGGCTGTAGCGTCGAACAGGTATAATGGCCAGGAAATGATGACATTACTTCTCGACAAGCGTGGATCCGATATTCATATTACCGAAGACGTCCTGAAGGCTGTAGCGTCGAATTGGGGTAATAGCCAGAAGGTCATGGCATTACTTCTCGACAAGCGCGGATCCGAGGTTCAGATCACCGAAGACATCGTCAAGGCTGCAGCATCGAATGAGGGTTATGGCCACAAGGTCATGGCATTGCTTCTCAAAGAGCGCGGATCCGAGATCCAGATCAACGAAGACATCGTCAAGGCTGTAGCGTCGAACAGGTATAATGGCCAGGAGATGATGACATTACTTCTCGACAAGCGTGGATCCGATATTCATATTACCGAAGACGTTCTGAAGGCTGTAGCGTCGAATAGGGGTAATGGCCAGAAGGTCATGGCATTACTTCTCAAAGAGCGCGGATCCGAGATCCAGATCACCGAAGACATCGTCAAGGCTGCAACGGAGACACCTGAAAGCTTGAGCATCTTTCATTTACTCTTCGGAACGCGGAAATCTGATACCCTCGCTTCCATCACCAGCAATGTATGCTTCACGGCTGCCTCTTGTGGACAGGAAGCTGCCCTTCGCTATCTGTGTCAGCACCTTCCGCCTGCAGATGTTAACCCTGATTGGGGACTCATCGCGAGGCTTTTCAACGCAGCAGACCATGGTGATGTGGAAGTCATCAGACAACTACTACAAGAATCAACACCATCAGATACCAAGGATATCAGGGGCCGAACGCCACTTTGGATAGCCGCATACCGAAGGCAATCGGATGTTGTAAAAGTTTTAGCAGGCCGAGAAGAGGTCGATGTCAACTCACTTGAGATGTCGGGGAGGCCGCCAATCTTCTGGCCTGCCGCAAATGGTTACGAGGACATTGTCAAAACTCTATTGTCTTTCGGAGCGCAATCACACTTTGTCGACACCGAAGGACACACCGCCATGACCATGGCGAAGAAGAATGGACATGAGAACATCGTGCGACTTCTCAACGCGCAGCTCGCACAACCCTGGGAAACCGTACTTCCGACACAGCAGTTTCGTTGGATTCGTTTGACATTTCCTGTTGCGGTGATCTTGCTGGGTGTTATTTTCCAAGCCTTTTGTACTCAGTGTTGATATGCCCTACATTGAATCTGTAACGTCGAAGCTCTGTGTGATGCGTTGCAAAGCTACTTTCAGAAGTCCAGAACATCCGAGGATACATGATACAACAGATACCTTCTCCCGTTCCCAAACAGAGAGGGAGGTAGCCGCAGCGGAGAAGGATATCTCACGAGACGTCATAAACTAGACGCGGGCGGCCGGCATCCCCTGCGGCCCGGACTCGACTTGGTTTTCACTGCGCGATGCGAGCTCCGATGCACCAAGCTTCTGAAGCGGCGCATCACAATCTTTAGGAAAGCCGATCGACTTCATGAAGACTGTCGAGCTAGAGTTCGAGCTGCATGGCAAATCGTGGGTGTATGACACCATGCCAGGCGACACATCAACTTTGTTCCGAGCGACTAGCACATCGCGGTGTAGTCCCGTACTCCGCACCTCTTGATCCATCGTCGGATGCCCTTCCTACACTTCACGGCTAAAATAGAAGTCGTACTTCGAAGTGTGTACAGGCCGGTCCCCGAGGCAGTCTGCGAATCTGGCCGTCCGATTCTCGTCCCCTTAAGACAGATCTTGCGGTGCAGAATCTCGACAGGGAAGAGCTTGCCAGCTTGTTGCTGTTCGTCTGGTGAGTTGGTGGGGTAGGTGGCAGGATGGACGGTTTGCGAAGGTGTCGCTGGCCCGTGAATGCTCTGCTCGCCTAGCATCCACTAACTCAGCGGGTCGATCGGTCTCAGATCCACCCGTGTCCGAGACGTTGAACGCGGTGTCGCGCTATCACGCGCCGCCCACGCAGTATCTGGTTGCCAGTGTCGGACGCCACAGGCTGCTGGCCAATGAGACCCACTAAGTCTAGCCTTTGATCCGAGCAGTGGGTAAAGTTCGGCAGGGACCGTGGCGCCTCCTGAGATGGTCGCAACGATCACCCGTCCAGAAACACAAGTTCTAATCCAGATTCGATGTGTCTTCTTTCGGTTCACCACATGCAGCGCCTCGTTGTCAGGATCATGTCCATCCGTCGATATTGCCTTCCATAATGACCTCTTAGTTTCTACACAGGTTCAGGTCGAAGATTAGCTCCTCGCGACCGTCTGCTCCTCGTCCCTCGCCGGCTCCTACGACCTTCCTCAGCCCTCGACCCTTTCCGAACGCTCAGTGACAAGCCTACAGAGCGGCTACAGAACCAAGCATATGATGGGCTCAGAACGGATGAACCTAGCACAATCGAGGCATACGAAAAGGTGTTGTAGGCTGAACTTCAGCCTTGCGAGGCCACCAGATGAGGCGGCTTGTCTAAGCCGGGCTACGAAAGACGGAAAAGGATGCAGCCATCAAGCAGAAGATCCACAACGGATTACAGGTCGCGACCCCCGTGAAGGCATTGATAGGCAAGGCCGTGCAGGCCGCACCGGAAGCCGTCATTGCCTGGGTCGGCGTCTGCTTTGCCTTGGGAGGTTAGTAGGCTGTTACCGACGCGCGACCGCTTACTGACATTCGGAAGACACTCGCGAACCCCCGAACCGAGCCAGGCATCAACCGCGAGGGCATTGCATACGTCGTTTCGAGGATGGAGGAGTACTAGAACCTGGCCGGTTCCTTCCTCGATAAATGAGGCACCAGTAGGGCTTTTGCAGGGCGGCCAGATCTACTGAGAGAAGGACATCATCCGGCCATACCAGAAACGCTGCCTCCCGAGACGTGGCCTGGTTGGCGGGTTGTCGAGCTAGCGTTAAGCATGTGAGGCTACCGTCCGTAGCGATGCGAAGCATAGGGACTTGGCCCTTGGATGTAAGTATCCACACATTCTGTCGCAGGACAGGGAGGGTTATTCAAGGTAGAAGTATGCGGGCACGATCAAAAGCGCCTTGGTCAGGTCATATCATGTCCCCATCGCGGACGACAGCCTCTCTCATATGCCTTGCGCGGTTAGTGCATCATCATCATCATGAGACGATACGCACGCCAGCGTAAAGGGACGGTCCGTCAACGCCCTTGTCTCGAGGAGCGCCGTCCGCCTGCCGTCCATTTGACTGCGCACCCCGCGAAGGTCGAGTATGTCCGACGAGAGGAACGGCCAGCCACCCTGCACCTGCTGACCGTCGTGGCGAGCACCTCGAATACCGGCTTGGGCAGTTCCCGCCCGTCACCCCCGCAAGCGCCAGATCAAGCCCTCGACCTCCCAGACGCGCCACTCCATCAAACCAGCGCCTGTTCGAAAACGCGCGCGAACGAGCAGAGCACGCCTGGGAACAGCGGAGGGGCGAAGCTCCGCAACACGAACGTGTACGAACGCCCCTCTCGCAGGAAGATATCCATCACCTCTAGATTGGCTGAAGTACGCTGACGAAGTCCCATCGGCCCTGCTCCAGCCGCACCGTCCATACGTCACCGCCTGGTCAATCCGGAACGACAAGTACTCCTCCTCAATGACCGCCTGGATTCACTCCCTCTTCCGCGCTGTTGCCTTGACCCCAATGCATTAGCCCGAAAGTCGAATCTGTGTATCTTTTTGGTGTCTACAGGCCACATTCGGATCCTTGGAGTAGCTTACATCAAAGAACTGAAGCGACTCTGTGTATAGTACCGCTTATCACACTCAAGAAGACATTTTTGATGGCATGCACGAGAGTTTGAACTGGTTGTCGTAGACAAAGAACTATCACAGACCGTTCAGGGCAATTCCAACGGCACCTGTTCTGATTTCAACCCCTCATCTGCAGTCCTCGGCGCTGAGGCCGATCATATCCCCCATGCAGAGTGTGGCTCGCATATCAACCTGTCACATACCTAATCAAGGTGACCCCTCCACTATGACTTCTTTTTCCGGAACCTCACATGCTAGCAGTCAAGCTGCCGGAAAGTGGCCAGAGGATTCCGGCTATCGACTTTGAGGAGCCTAGATTAAGGTACTGGGTTGAGGCCCGTCATTTCGAGTTAATGGCTGCTTGGCTTGGCGATGCGCCAGTCAACGTCTTCTCCGACGGACATCCCCTGGGAAAGCCGGGAACAGGCAAGTCAACCATGTCCATTCCCTTGCCGATACGTGTACCCTCTACTGGATCTGGAAATGGCCTTTCAAGGTTGTGGACATGGACAGGCCTTTGACATTTATGCGAGATGAATGATCATTAACATGCTCTGGGCATTCAACAAGGCATGGTTTTTCCAATTCACGGGCAGGATTCAAATCAGGCCGCGATTAAGGTGAGAGCTGGTTTATTCCTCCACTGGTCTAGGCTGCCGCGACCTTAACCTCCCCATTGCCTACTGCAACTGGGTATTATGTGGCTGACCCTCGTGACTACCTGGGAAGCCATCCAGTGAACTTTTGCGACCGTCCAGCCAGGGCTTTGCAGAGTTGTTGCTCTTGCTCAGGCTCCCGTCACCTGTACTCAGTCATACTATTTGAATCGACAATCGACAACTGGCCATTGACCGAACTGGTAGTGATTCTTATCCCATCATGTGTGAGCTGGTCTCCCTTTCGGGCGAGAAGGAGCTGCATCACCTGGAACCCACACTCCTCGTTCCTTGCCGCGGCCTTGACGGTATCCTCCGTGATGGTGACCTGGTCTCCCCTCCGATCAAGAAGAAGCTCTATCACCTTGGCCCTGAAGTTTCCGGCGACCGCAGCGATGGCACGTTCAGTGATGGTGACTTGGTCTCCCTTCCAGTCGAGAAGGAGTTTCATCACCTGGGACCCACCCTCCTCGTTCCCCGCCGCGGCTTTGACGATATCCTCCGTGATGGTGACCTGGTCTCCCTTCCTGTCGAGAAGGAGTTCCATCACCTGGGACCCACCCTCCTCGTTCCCTGCCGCGGCCTTGACGACATCCTCCGTGATTGTGATTTGGTCTTCTCTCCGATCGAGAAGGACCTCCATCACCTCGGCCCCGCTCTGCCAGTTCCCTGCCGCGGCTTTGATGATATCCTCCGTGATTGTTACCTGGTCTCCTCTCCGATCAAGAAGGAGCTCCATCACCTTCGCCCCGCTCTGCCTGTTCCCTGCCGCGGCCTCGACGATATCCTCCGTGATTGTGATCTGGTCTCCCTTCCGGTCAAGCAGGAGCTCCACCACCTCGACCCCCTTCCACCTATTCCCTGCCGCGGCTTTGACGATGTCCTCCGTGATTGTGACCTGGTCTCC